GTGGCAGGTGGCTACCGTTACCTGTGGCAGGTGGCTACCGTTACCTGTGGCAGGTGGCTACCGTTACCTGTGGCAGGTGGCTACCGTTACCTGTGGCAGGTGGCTACCGTTACCTGTGGCAGGTGGCTACCGTTACCTGTGGCAGGTGGCTACCGTTACCTGTGGCAGGTGGCTACCGTTACCTGTGGCAGGTGGCTACCGTTACCTGTGGCAGGTGGCTACCGTTACCTGTGGCAGGTGGCTACCGTTACCTGTGGCAGGTGGCTACCGTTACCTGTGGCAGGTGGCTACCGTTACCTGTGGCAGGTGGCTACCGTTACCTGTGGCAGGTGGCTACCGTTACCTGTGGCAGGTGGCTACCGTTACCTGTGGCAGGTGGCTACCGTTACCTGTGGCAGGTGGCTACCGTTACCTGTGGCAGGTGGCTACCGTTACCTGTGGCAGGTGGCTACCGTTACCTGTGGCAGGTGTTTACCGTTACCTGTGGCAGGTGGCTACCGTTACCTGTGGCAGGTGGCTACCGTTACCTGTGGCAGGTGGCTACCGTTACCTGTGGCAGGTGGCTACCGTTACCTGTGGCAGGTGGCTACCGTTACCTGTGGCAGGTGGCTACCGTTACCTGTGGCAGGTGGCTACCGTTACCTGTGGCAGGTGGCTACCGTTACCTGTGGCAGGTGGCTACCGTTACCTGTGGCAGGTGTTTACCGTTACCTGTGGCAGGTGGCTACCGTTACCTGTGGCAGGTGTTTACCGTTACCTGTGGCAGGTGGCTACCGTTACCTGTGGTAGGTGGCTACCGTTACCTGTGGCAGGTGGCTACCGTTACCTGTGGCAGGTGGCTACCGTTACCTGTGGCAGGTGGCTACCGTTACCTGTGGCAGGTGGCTACCGTTACCTGTGGCAGGTGGTTACCGTTACCTGTGGCAGGTGGCTACCGTTACCTGTGGCAGGTGGCTACCGTTACCTGTGGCAGGTGGCTACCGTTACCTGTGGCAGGTGGCTACCGTTACCTGTGGCAGGTGGCTACCGTTACCTGTGGCAGGTGGCTACCGTTACCTGTGGCAGGTGGCTACCGTTACCTGTGGCAGGTGGCTACTGTTACCTGTGGCAGGTGGCTACCGTTACCTGTGGCAGGTGGCTACCGTTACCTGTGGCAGGTGGCTACCGTTGCCTGTGGCAGGTGTTTACCGTTACCTGTGGCAGGTGTTTACCGTTACCTGTGGCAGGTGTTTACCGTTACCTGTGGCAGGTGTTTACCGTTACCCGTGGCAGGTGGCTACAGGTGACGGATCTCCCAATCCTGAGCACTCCAGTTGCAAACTCTGTAAGCAGGAACTGCGGCATGATCTCCCACACTACATCACCGAATACCCAGTTATTAGACCTTTCAGACCCGTTGGCATGAGGTACCTGGGCTTTGCAATGACTTTATTCACTCGTGTTCTTGACGATATCCTCATATTGCACCCAAAATTTACCAGTGCAGGCTACTTATCACATGCCTCTGTACGACTAACCATCCTGTGTGATGGGAATTTTTACCACCACGTAGCTAGCTTTTTGACACACTGTACTCCCCTTCATATAGTCTAGGGTAGCTGCACTAATGCACATGTCCCTAATGTATTAATAAAAAACATAATCCTCATAGACTTGACTGTTTAATGCCACTCATCACAAGATGAGTGGCGCTGCTCAATAAACTCGCCCCTTGGGGCAAAATTTAAATTTAATTTTTAATCTTAATCTGCTTTTAAACAACTAATAATAACTTAGGGGGTAACTGACCCCAAATAACTCGTGTCTTTAACTTCCATAAGAGTACTCGTTTAATTGGTAACCACTACTCATCTAGCCCCCCCCCCCTCCCAATTTAGTAAAAATGTCCACCTTTTCTCCTTCTACATGGTACTAACCACTAGGCAACTAGTCTACATGGTAATTACACCTACATGGTAATGGAATTTTTTCCCTGTTAATACAAAATACTTACATAATCTTACACCCATTTCTTTGCCTTTATTACTCGCCTATCTTATTTTTTTTTTAATGATCCTCCTCTTGTCTTTTATCTTTAATACACCGGGAAAAAATCCTTCGGGATTTGCCTAACCTGCTCCTTTGTAGGTCGCGATTTATTTTCTGTTTTTCATATTTATTCTTTAACATTTCTTGTTACTTTGTTACTTGTTTGCTCCTGTTAAATGTTCCCTTTCTTAATTCGTTTGTTTATCGTTTATCTTATTAAGTTATTCAATTCCATTGTTATCCATTTTTAGTCCTTGATATTTGATTTGGTATGTGTAATAATATATATATATATATATATATATATATATATATATATATATATATATATATATATATATATATATATATATATATATATATATATATATACATACACACACATATGTACACACAAAAGGTTCTATAGCTTTAGTAAAAATGTTTATTAATGGAATTGACCAGACCACACACTAGAAGTTGAAGGGACGACGACGTTTCGGTCCGTCCTGGACCATTCTCAAGTCGATTCGACTTGAGAATGGTCCAGGACGGACCGAAACGTCGTCGTCGTCCCTTCAACTTCTAGTGTGTGGTCTAGTCAACATACTTCTGCCACGTTATTGTGACTCATCGCCTGCTTAATGGAATTATAATTTAAATCTTCATCTTAATACATGGTCATTACAACTTGTCCAACACTTGTCCCATCTTAAGGACCATACCACCTCGTTCAGTGTTCAGGTCCATCCAGTCTACACTTACATCTACGCCTCCTTGAAGTCCCTTAAAAAAAGAAAAAAATCTTTGCGAAAACCTGGAGCCTTAAGGTTTTTTTTCTTTCACCCGACTTGACCATGTTATGTTGACCCCAATTGTGACCGCTGTTCCATAGCTCAGCTCCACTTATTGGTTAAAACTTAAGTCTGAAATACTATTTTCTTTCTAGATGTTGGAGCATTGATTAACATCATCTTTGTCCCCTAGCGTCAGGCTATCTTCTTGAGGTTATCTTGAGATGATTTCGGGGCTTTAGTGTCCCCGCGGCCCGGTCCTCGGCCAGGCCTCCACCCCCAGGAAGCAGCCCGTGACAGCTGACTAACACCTAGGTACTTATTTTACTGCTAGGTAACAGGGGCATAGGGTGTGAAAGAAACTCTACCCATTGTTTCTCGCCGGCGCCTGGGATCGAACCCAGGACCACAGGATCACAAGTCCAGCGTGCTGTCCGCTCGGCCGACCGGCTAGGCGATACTTCCTCTCAAGCCTGATCCTCCTAGTTAATGACTCTGGTATTGAGTCATTTAATGACTCTGGAATGCGGAGTCATTAGCATTTATCAACATGTTGCCTACGGGTCGCTTTTTCAACTTTAAATGCATAGATGATGAAATACGAAAATTACATTTTGTCTACGACTTTTGTGAGACCAAAACTGTACTATGCAATGGTTGTGTCTGGTGGCCATAACTCAAGACGTTCATCAACTGGTGAGGAAAAGATGGTACAGAGACTTGTGTTACTAAAAGATTTTCGGAAATGCAAAGCAAAGAACTACAATAGAGAAGATACAGTGGGCAGCTTCGACGACCTTCTCAATTCTCTTCTCTTTTTATGTCTGATTCATCGTGAATGACTGCGAAGTCGTGAATGACTGCGAAGTCGTGAATGACTGCGAAGTCGTGAATGACTGCGAAGTCGCGAATGACTGCGAAGTCGTGAATGACTGCGAAGTCGTGAATGACTGCGAAGTCGTGAATGACTGCGAAGTCGGGAAGGACTGCGAAGTCGGGAATGACTGCGAAGTCGCGAATGACTGCGAAGTCGCGAATGACTGCGAAGTCGTGAATGACTGCGAAGTCGTGAATGTCTGCGAAGTCGGGAATGACTGCGAAGTCGCGAATAACTGCGAAGTCGTGAATGTCTGCGAAGTCGTGAATGTCTGCGAAGTCGTGAATGCCTGCGAAGTCGTGAATGCCTGTGAGGTCGTGAATGCCTGCGAGGTCGTGAATGCCTGCGAGGTCGTGAATGCCTACGAGGTCGTGAATGCCTACGAGGTCGTGAATGCCTACGAGGTCGTGAATGCCTACGAGGTCGTGAATGACTACGAGGTCGTGAATGCCTGCGAAGTCGTGAATGCCTACGAGGTCGTGAATGCCTACGAGGTCGTGAATGCCTACGAGGTCGTGAATGCCTACGAGGTCGTTAATGCCTACGAGGTCGTGAATGCCTACGAGGTCGTGAATGCCTGCGAAGTCGTGAATGCCTACGAAGTCGTCGCCTCCTCGGTTATGGAGAGACGGAACCACCATCCTCAACTACAATGTTAAATTTGGCAAAGCTGGAGTATAGAAAGGAGAAAAAAAATGGAGATATGATCACTACATACAAAATAGTAACAATAGTCGACAAAATTGACGAAGAGGAATTCTTGCAACTTCACAAACAAAAGGGTCAAAGATTGCAGCAAAGATACCGAAAAAATATCAGAAAGTTATCCTTTTTCTTCAGCCAGGTATGCTGTGATAACAAGTGAGATAGCAGTGGAGGCCAAAACCGTCAGTAACTTCAAGGCCTCATAAGACCAAGAGTAGCGGGAAGACGGGACACCACGAGCGTAGCCACTCAATTCTGTATTGTAAAATAAACACAGCACCACCACTACACCACACCAACAGAGTGGTAGACGGTTGGAACAAGTTAGGTGAGAAGGTGGTGGAGGCCAAGACCGTCAGTAGTTTCAAAGCGTTATATGACAAAGAGTACTGGGAAGACGGGACACCACGAGCGTAGCTCTCATCCTGTAACTACGCTTAGGTAATTACACCATAACACCACTACCCAGAGCACAACAACAACAACAACAAAACGCACTACCCAGCAGTAACGAGGTGGCATAGCTCTATATACCCGCGTGGCATAGCTCTATATACCCGCGTGGCATAGCTCTATATACCCGCGTGATAAGTTTCTCTGGTGTTGACAGGAATGAGATGATCAGCCCAGCGCTGGTCGACGGCGCATGCGCGCTCTTCACGCCCTCAATGGCGTCTAATCAGTGAGTTTCAAAGAACGTTTTAACTGGAACGAATGGCTCCGGCTGCTCACTGGAGGGACGCCGGTCCAACACCAGTCCGGGGACGACCTCCCGTTCACCCGTCCAATTCCTATCCTCCATCCCCACCCACGCTATCCTCATTCTCCTATTTGCTCATCAATCTCCCTCTACCTATCCTAACTTTTCCACCCCCCCCCCCCATTCACCTCAACCACCCACGTACTACCCATTTTCCATCCCCTCCCTATCCCCCATCCTTACCCAACTACTTTTCCCTACCATCTTATCCAAACTCACCTAACCATTTCCTATGCCAATCTCCGTCCCATCTCAAATCCTTATCCTGACCCCTTTCCAAGTGCTATATAGTCGAGAGAGAGAGAGAGAGAGAGAGAGAGAGAGAGAGAGAGAGAGAGAGAGAGAGAGAGAGAGAGAGAGAGACAGAGACAGAGACAGAGAGAGTGAGAGACAGTGAGAGACAGAGACAGACAGAGACAGACAGAGACAGACAGAGACAGAGACAGAGACAGAGAGAGAGAGAGAGAGAGACAAAGACAGAGACAGAGAGAGAGACAGAGACAGAGAAGGTAGGAGCGACCGTTTTCCCATCTCTCGTCACCTTGATTAGGGTTCACAGGTAACAGTAATAACCTTGTTGTCGCAGCTGCGTTAGTCGTACTATTGTTAACCCATCCGGTGTAAATTAACGGAAAAGAAACTTGCAGATTACACACAGAAATCACAATAGCGTGATGCATCAAATGAACAAATCCACAAGGGGGGGAATTTGTCCAGCTCAGTCGATTAAGGCAGCGTCTGGGATGCTCTCGGACCTAAGTTCGAACCCTCGTCACGACCCTTTGTGGATTTGTTCATTTGTAGATTACCCCTCCCCCCCCCCTAACACTTCCCCCCCCCCTAACACAGCTTGCAGATAACCAAACAGATTACTCCAGCTTCCCAAACCATTATGATAAGAATCTATAAAGATCTTGGAACCTATGTTCCAAGCCGGTCGGCCGAGCGGACAGCACACTGGACTTGTGATCCTACGGTCCTGGGTTCGATCCCAGGAGCCGGCGAGAAACAATGGGCAGAGTTTCTTTCACCCTATGCCCCTGTTACCTAGCAGTAAAATAGGTACCTGGGTGTTAGTCAGCTGTCACGGGCTGCTTCCTGGGGGTGGAGGCCAGGTCGAGGACCGGGCCGCGGGGACACTAAAGCCCCGAAATCATCTCAAGATAACCTCAAGATATGTCGCTATACCTTTCAGATCATTATAAGATTCTAGACAATGCTAAGTAAGCTTCCCTTTATACCACTTGTTCCACCATTGTTCCAGACCACTGTACCACTTGTTCCAGGCTACCACACTAATAGTCAATCACAATCACATAGGGGCCTCGTAGCCTGGTGGATAGCGCGCAGGGCTCGTAATTCTGTGGCGCGGGTTCGATTCCCGCACGAGGCAGAAACAAATGGGCAAAGTTTCTTTCACCCTAAGTGCCCCTGTTACCTAGCAGTAAATAGGTAAAAAAAAAAAAAAAAGTAGTTAGTAAACAGTTGATTGACAGTTGAGAGGCGGGCCGAAAGAGCAAAGCTCAACCCCCGCAAAAACACAACTAGTAAACACAACTAGTAAACACATATTGTTACTGATATAAAGGACCTCCTGGTTCTTCGGAGCTCACAAACTGTTTAATATATGTAAACAAAGCCGTCAAAGATTGAGGAAAGATGTACACACTGCAAGTACTTGCGTAACTACTTCGTGAATCTGACCCCTGGTCCTTTCAGGCAAGAATTACACATCAGCGAGCACAGGAATCAACATAGGCTCCAGCATGTGACCAATTGGAGATATACGGCCATAAATACCAATTGGCAGATGTTGCTGGGAGTCAGACGCCCAGCAGATGTCTCCATCCTCTACAGGTGTGCCTACAGGTGTGCCTTCAGGGGGTCGCAGCGAAGCGAAACGCCCCAGAATTTATGAACCCTTCAGCCTGGTATTTTTGCACATATGAAACATTTATAACTTCTTCATCTCTTGAATTATACGCTGAGGTCTTCCTATGATATCTTAGAGGCGGAGTATATATTATTTCTGTTGTAATGGCCTCCCAAGCGAAATTGTATGGGAAGAAAAGGGGGAGTGCTTCAAGTAGCTCCCTGCACCCAAACAAAAAACTGAAGTTATTGAAAATTAATTTTAAGTCGTGATATGAAAACGTCGATTAGCCGATGAAGATGGTTTTCAAGACGTTAGTGCTCTCTAGAGTGGAGTACTGCTGCACAATGACAGCCCCTTTCAAAGCTGGAGAAATTGCTGATCTGGAGAGCGTGCAGATATCCTTTACTTTAGAATCCACTCATTAAAGCATCTAAACTATTGGGACCGACTAAAGAGTCTAAATCTGTATTCTCTTGAGCGCAGGCGGGAGAGATACATAATAATTTACACATGCAAAGTAGTAGAGGGGCTGGTCCCAAACCTGCACACAGAAATAACACCACATGAGACCAGAAGGCATGGCAGGATGTGCAGAATACCCCCCATTAAAAAGCAAAGGTGCAACAGGTATTCTGAGAGAGAACTATCAACATCAGAGGCCCGAGACTGTTCAACACGCTTCCACTACACATAAGGGACATAACTGGCCGACCCCCTCACAGTGTTCAAGAGAGAACTTGACAAGCACCTCAAAAGGATACCTGATCAACCAGGCTATGATTCCATTTACCCCATCACCACCTGGCATATGGAGATAAAGATGGGATAGAGACCATTTTCATTCGTGTTTCCCTTCTACAAATCCTATTAAATGTTCAAACTCTTATTAAAAAAAGACAATTTCACGCACTCGCCCCACATCACCAACTACTCCTCAGATGCCGGAGCACAATTCCTAGCGTTGAGAATTTATCGATCGTGAAATATTGATAACTGGATTTTTATTTATTTTTTAATGTTTTCCCTCCGGCTGAGGACAGCCGCAAAAACATCATGGCGCTGAAGGTTCTTCGGTGGTCAACCATAACCAAGATGGCGGCCACCGCTGCTCAGACATAAACACCAGTGCTCAAGGCTCATGTACTGACGAACGTGATGTAAATGGTCAAATAATCTTAACACGCTCTCAGCCGAAAGACACAGAAAGAGGCGGAAAAGGAGGAAGAGAAGAAAGGAGGAAGAGAAGAAAGGAGGAAGAGAAGAAAGGAGGAAGAGAAGAAAGGAGGAAGAGAAGAAAGGAGGAAGAGAAGAAAGGAGGAAGAGAAGAAAGGAGGAAGAGAAGAAAGGAGGAAGAGAAGAAAGGAGGAAGAGAAGAAAGGAGGAAGAGAAGAAAGGAGGAAGAGAAGAAAGGAGGAAGAGAAGAAAGGAGGAAGAGAAGAAAGGTGAAGAGAAGAAAGGTGAAAGGTGCTTAGGAAGAGGAGAAAGGTGCTTAGGAAGAGGAGAAAGGTGAGGAGGAGGAGAAAGGTACTTAGGGAAAAGAGGAATAACGCAAGGAGCAATGAAGAACGAGAAAGACTAATTCCCACCTTGTCCGGACCTCGCTGTTACAAAACCAGGAGTTCGAAGACTCCAAACCAGGAGTTCGAAGAGTTCCAAGACTCGAACTCGCGTCATTTCCTCGCACGGCAAGACTTCACAAGCGGCCATATAGCCACCAAACAGAATAAAACAAACTCAAACCAACATATCCCCAAACAGAAACATTCTTCGCGGTAAAGAGGACATAAGGGAAGAACCATCACAAATGCCCTCCATCAGAATCTCATTTGATCCGCATTCTAGGACACCGGGGAGTATTGGAACCTCTTGTCGAAGGATTGAGTACCGTGACTGCTTACTGAAGTGACTCTCATTTGGGGCATCAGACACCGTCTGCTAACATGGTTTGTGTTACCTATAGGTTCATTCTGGCGTCGTCAGCGGCGGTGTGGGGGTAGGAGTTACCCATTGGGGGATGGTCCAGGACCTTACCCATGGAGAGGGAAGGAAGATGACCTAGTTCCTTACCCATGGAGCGAGAGGGAAGGTGATTCACAACATTGCCCGTGGAGAAGGAGGGAATGTGAATAAGGTGATAGAAAGGTGACTGACTAACCCATGTAGAGAGAAAGAAGGGGGGAGGGAGGGGGAGAGAGAGAGAGAGAGAGAGAGAGAGAGAGAGAGAGAGAGAGAGAGAGAGAGAGAGAGAGAGAGAGAGAGAGAGAGAGAGAGAGAGACAGAGAGAGACAGAGAGAGACAGAGAGAGACAGAGAGAGACAGAGAGAGAGAGAGAGAGAGAGAGAGAGAGAGAGAGAGAGAGAGAGAGAGAGAGAGAGAGAGAGAGAGAGAGAGAGAGAGAGAGACAGAGAGAGACAGAGAGAGACAGAGAGAGAGAGAGAGAGAGAGAGAGAGAGAGAGAGAGAGAGAGAGAGAGAGAGAGAGAGAGAGAGAGAGAGAGAGAGAGAGACAGAGAGAGACAGAGAGAGACAGAGAGAGACAGAGAGAGACAGAGAGAGAGAGAGAGAGAGAGAGAGAGAGAGAGAGAGAGAGAGAGAGAGAGAGAGAGAGAGAGAGAGAGAGAGAGAGAGAGAGAGAGACAGAGGGAGAGAGAGAGAGAGACAGAGAGAGACAGAGAGAGACAGAGAGAGAGAGAGAGAGAGAGAGAGAGAGAGAGAGAGAGAGAGAGAGAGAGACAGAGAGAGAGGGGGGGAGGTGGCCTAGAGCCAGCCTACTAGTCTCAATCAATACCACACATCTTTACACTATATAAGCCCCAACGGATAAAATAAAGGAAACTATTATATGCAAGTTAGACCTCTCACACACCCACGTTTTCTACGTCTGAGGCGGTTAGGTTAGGTGGGTTAAGCTAGCATTTTAATACCTCATACTTTGTCCGTTTTGGCAACTCAAGAGTACGAATTGACCCACGAGCAGAGGCG